ATTCCTCCATGGCCTATGCCCCAGCTCCTGCCTCCAGGTTCCTGCCCTGAGTTCCTACCTCGGGCTCCCTGATGAACTGTGCCCTGGGAGTTGTAAGCTGAATAAACCCTTTCCTCCTCAAGTTGGTATTGGTCAGAGTGTATTGTCACAGCAATGAAGAACAAACTAGAACAACACCAAAAAGACAAGATCAGAAAAGAAACTCCCCATGACATAGCATAGTAAAAACACTAAATGTACAGAACAAAGAGAGAATACTGAAAGCAGCAAAAGGAAAACAAGTCACATACAAAGGAAAGCCCATCAGAATTACAGCTGACTTATCAATGCAAACTATGAAAGCCAAAAGAGCCTGGACCACGGTATTTCCACTTCTACATGACAACAGATGTTATAGTTGAGGGGGAAAGAAAAATCTTCCATGGCATGAATAGCCTGAAAGAATACATGTCCACAAGACCAGCCCTTCAAAGAATACTTGAAGCAATACAGAGAGCAGAGAGAGAAACAATTATACCCTAGGGGCAACAAAAGAAAATAACAAAGATATAATCTAGGAAACAAAAAAAATTATACAGAGAACACAAACAGCAATCAAAATGACAGCAACCAATACACATCCTTCAATAATAAGCTTAAATATCAATGGACTGAACTCCCCACTCAAAAGACACAGGCTAAGTGAATGGATTAAGAAACAAAATCTATCTCTTTGCTGTCTGCAAGAAACCCATCGCACCTTCAAGGATAGGTACTACCTTAAGGTAAAAGGATGGAAAAGAATATTCCAAGCAAATGGCACTAAGAAACAAGCATGGGTTGCAATTCTAATATCTGACAAAATAGACTTCAAAGTAAAACTAATCAGAAGAGATAAGGGAGGTCGCTTCATTCTGATCAAAGGAACAGTTAACCAAGAAGATATTACAATCTTTAACATATATGCACCAAACTCTGGTGCACCCAAACTCATAAAAACTACAGGACTTTAAGACACAGATTAACCACAACTCAGTAATAGTAGGGGACTTCAATACCCCACTGTCTCCATTAGACAGGTCAACTGGACAAAGAATAAACAGAGAGACGTTTGAATTAAATGATACCATACATCAAATGGACCTAACAGACATCTTTCAATTATTCCACCCTAGTACCAAAGAATACACTTTCTATTCACCACCCATGGAACTTTTTCAAAAATTGACCACATACTGGGCCACAAAACAAACCTCAGCAAATACAAAAATACTGAAATAATTCCATGCATTCTATCAGACCACAAAGCAAGAAAGCTCAAAATCAACAAGGACAAAGTCCTAGTCACTACACGAACTTGTGGCAATTGAACAACAGACTCCTAAACATTGAGTGGGTCAAAGGAGAAATTAAGAAAGAAATAAAAGA